GTGATGCATCCAACCCATGGGCCATGAGTTTGATACCCCTGCTCTAGTGTCTATTTGCAATCCTCATCAAGCGAGAGTTCCTAATAAGGGGTTGATTCTATTCCAGTTATTTGCCACATAATTATTTTACCAATAATTAAATATTGGTAAAAATAACCAATATATTGTATCTCTCTGGTTCCCAATCTGTTTAAAAATTTCTTAAATTTTTCTTTTGTTTTTGTCAATTGTATATTATTATAAATTCTTAAATCTCTGCTTTAAAATTCTTAAATCCAAAGAAAGTAAAAAGATGTCAAACTAAGCTCACCTTTTAGAAGGTCCCTAGTATCCATAAATTGACTAAACATTTCCGAATGTAATTAGATAGTGCACCTGGCCAGCTTAGTTTCCTTTCTAAAGACTACAATGGTGAATAATTAGCTTCTAAATAAAAAATAAATAAAAAATCATTTAGTAGGCTATTTTAAAATTATCTTCAAAAACAAACCAACATTGTAGGTAATGATTTGCTAAACAACATGATCAAGCATTCAAACTGAAGCAGCATGAGATCCAAAACAGGATTAGATCCAAATGTGATTAACAAAGCAGATTGGCAGTTTCTGAACTCAGTTCAGTCACTTTTCATCCTACCATGGAAATTAGGCCTTTACCAACAATGAGCTTAATGCTGGCTGTCTGGCAATTTCTAAAGACTACGGTTGAGCTGGCATATACAGCAAGGTATCTCTTTAACACTATATAAACAGAACCAAACGCAGCTTTTACTTTCTATTTAATGCATTATAAAGAGATTCTGCCTGCTAAGTGTGGCCTGTGCTGTTCCTGTGCAAACTTTTTATAGACAATCTCAGAGTAATTAGACTGTGGGTCTATCGTATGCTTGATATTCCATCACATAATATACAGTACTGAAAAGATATCATTACATTAACTGCATTTTTTAAAAAATGAAATACTACCTAAAAGTTTAATTGTACCTTCAAAGTGTGCAGTAACTTAATTTTTCCCATAAAATGGAGAGCCATTCATTTAATCTTTTTTTTTTCATGTGTGGGCTTACCAGAAGAGCAAGGAGTCTGAAATGAAGTCCAAACATTTTTATACAACTCAATAGAGTTAGGTGTCCAAATAAAAGAAATATACAATCTGTGCTTCTGGAAACTGGAGCTCTGTAATAGTGGGAAAGCTGCTTTCTATCTCTAGTCTAGTTGAAAGAACATAAAAGTTCAGGTTGTGGGAGGAACACTATTGAAAAGATTATTCCATATGATACCTCTGATGTCTGTAAAACTGAGCCAACCCATTGCTTGAGTAGGAGACCTTATACTATTCCTTAAGTGCCTTAAAATCTTTTCATTGGCTTGCTCTGAATCCCAGCACCATTAGAAGTAAAATTAACGTCACAGCCCAACCACCTCACAGGATAGATTCGCCGCCATAATCTAATAAACAAACTTTCCACGTTTTCTGTCTCCTGAAGATTTATCAACTATCTGTGATCTCACACCTAGCTGTACGCTCCTCAGCATAAGGGCTTACATGCAAAACTACACATTTCTTCGTGGCTGGCCAGAACTGAGTACTCACGTCTTAAATTGACGTTACCCTATTTCAACTCGATTGCCCAATAATCCGCTTTCAGAACACATCTAAAGAAAGGAGCGTGCAAGTCTCTAACTATGAGCGACGTCACGGAAAACTACCGACAAACAGGAACTTCAGCATTGAAGACACTCGCCTTCCTCCTAGTTCATCAGGGTAATCTGAAAATCCCGTCTCTAATCGCCCCTAAACAGCAGAGGAGCAATAAAAAGTAGACATTCTCTGTTCTCTTCAGTAAAATTCCCGTTAGTAATGTGCATCACGCGTGGCTTAAATGGAAACTGCTCAATAAAAGTCCCTGGAAAAACCCCGGAGTTTTAGATATAAGCGGCAAAAACACACAGAAGAGTTTTGTTTATGCCTTTATTCTGTTTAAGAAATAAGATTCGGTTTTTTACGTTGTTAACTCACAATCCATATTAATATAGTATCTTAATAAAACTTGATACAAAACATTGTATTAGGGCAGTCGGTCCGTCGCAGTCCATTCTACGCAACAAAATTGTTGCGGGGGGAAAGGAGTGTGAGTTTCTGGGAAAAAGGTATGATATGCATATAAATGTAAATATATACTGTTAAAAACCTCAACAGTAACAACAGCTCGTCATCCTCTTTTCCGATGCCTTTTAAAAGTAATCTTGTCTCCTGACGAGTTGGAATAGAATAGAGCTGGAAGGGACCTTGGCGGTCTTCTCGTCCAGCCCCCTGCTCAAGCAGGAGTTTTTAGTCCTCAAAAGCTAGCCTATTATTTGTAACTCCAAGTTGATATTCTGTAAGTAGCAAATTAGCATGGCTCTCTTCTTCTTACCCTATCTGTCTATGGAGATTCTCAGTCGTCCAAGTCCCAATGGTGTTTTTTCCAAGACGAAACTGGACTTTCTGGTTTTTCTTTGAAGACATTTCGCTTCTCATCCAAGGTTTTTGGATGAGAAGTAAGACGTCTTTGAAGAAATAGCAGAAAGTCCAATTGCCTCTTGAAAAAAAATGGTTTCTTACCCAATTAGTATTAAGAATAGTTTATTTTCCCTTACAATGCATTATTTTCTATACCTCTAAGTTATTTGCAGATTCAGCAGTGTATCATTTTGCAGAAATATTAGTTGCCATTTTATTACTCTTGCAGCATGCTAGATTAGTGTTTGTTTTTCATTAAATGAAACATAAGATCTGATAAAGTATTAAGCCTGATTGGTGCCAAGGGTAGAGTCACTGAGGTCATAGGCTTGAACAGAGGAATTAAGATATGCAAAAATTTGCAAAATTGTTTACATGGTAATCAGAATAGGTTATATTATTAATTAATTATTAGTACAATTAGGTTGCATTTGTTGATTCTTATAAAACTGAGGCAAAGGAGTAATTTCTTATTTTAGACCTAATGCCTTTGTTTTCTTTGCATGCTTATCCCATGGCACTCCCTGTTGCTCACCATCTTACTGGTCCCACATCAGGCCCTTGTTGTACACTCACCTGGATTATATGTTCTGATTATGCTCTTTGTCACTAACCACACCACTGCAAACTCCCAGGTTTGTGGTCCTTTGGTGACAATCATATCTGCAGGGATACTGCAGTAGAAATGTCTTTGATATCCAAGTAATGTAATTCTTTACTGTATTTCTAAATCAGTTTTATTTATTTATTACATTTGTTTGCCACCCAACTCGCCACCAGGCAATTTGATCCTGTGGTTGACCAGTCATTAAAGTGTTGAATATATTTATACATGCAAGTATATATATTTGTATCCATACCAGACTTCCATATTAAATTAATTTCATTATTTAAAATAATTCTTCTAATCATACACATGTACAAGTTCATGCACAAGCCAGAATCAGCACTGCATAGCAACCCCATGGTTGCTGTGTATAGTCTCAAGCAGCTTTTCCAGATGTGTCAGGGGAAAGTTAAGAGGAAGAAAATAAGTATTTCTTGGACCAGGGTGTCAAACTTGCGGCCTGTGGGCCAAACTTGCGTCCCATGTCATGTGCTGGCCACGGCCACGGCCAGTTAGCAAAGTGGGGAAAAGTCATGATATGTCACATGGCAATGCTGACAATGTGAGTTTGACACCCTTGCCTTAAATATTGGATGCAGGATTATCCACAGCAGCCTTGAATGCATGTCACAACTTGGGATACCCTACATAAATGCATTATACACTTCATTTCTGCCTTCATGTACTTCAAAGCTGGTCAGGATTACTGGAATGCTGAAGGCAAGCAAAAGAGGATAGCTACAACATCAGGGCCTCTATTATTCATGGCTGAACTTTCTCTAGATCTGTAGTAGAGATATACATAATGGAGAATATGAGGCACAGAATAGATTTGTGGAGGGCTGTTTAGGCAAATCTCCTTGGCTGAGCTGTGTTGACCTATGCCTAGAGTTCCTGGTCCCCAACAGAATCATCCACCTCCTATAGAATTTTGTAGCATTAATCAATCCCACTTCTTGGTTGCTGCACAACCATAGATGCCACTACACATGGATAGGTAGGAACAAACTATAATCAGGGTTAAAGATGCAGGTTGTTTATTTGAAAACTACACAGAATTACTTTTAATTAATTAGAATTATATATTAAAGTTATGTAACTTTATTGCAGTCATTAACTAGCACAAGGAAATTGATATCCAAAATTAAATTAACAATATTAGGATGGTTAGGAAAATTACATGCATGCAAAAATTGTGCTTAAAAAATAACAATTTTAAATTAAAGTTAGCTAAAGGGCTTATTCAGGCTACACATTCAATAAGAAGTTAAAACTTAGCAATCTGGAGAATAAAAATCTTGAAATTGCAATATAAAACACAATACAAATAAGATATACATACATATATACATGTGTAGCAATGAATAAAGCAATGAAGTATAAATCAACGAGTAAGCCTCTTTGCTAAAATTTATTGTTGGGGTTTTTTTTTGGGGGGGGGGTACGCTTAATCATAAAAACATCTGAGAAAACTTGAAGTTTCCAATCATCCTTTATTGTCTTCCACAGTATCGTACCCAAAATTTCACTTCTGAAGACTGAAAAAAAAAAAACCTCAACAGGAAATGCGTAACTCTGACGGGAGTATATCTACAGCTTGCAGCATTGGTTGCTACCTGTCTGGGAATGATGTTTGTGTTTTTCTTACACCGTGAGGAAGGGGTGAGAATTATGATTTTACAGTGCTGCCAAATCTGAGGGAGAAAAAAAGTAAATGTTACTGTACACAAATCCTATTGCCTACAGAGGAAAAAAAGAAAAGAAAGGAGAAGGAGGAAAGGAGGGTTTAGAGGGGAGGAAAGCTTTCTCCCACTCCACGATTATCACCCCTCCCTGATCAAACAATGGTATAGTCCGGAAGCAAGCAAAGTCGGGGTTTCCCCCATGCTAGGAGGCCAGGCTAAGCTTAGATTTGCTGCCGCCGCCGCCTTCTCCTCCTCCTTTTCGCTACTGCTGTTTCTCCGACAGCCATTTCGCGAGCGTCCATCGTGAGCACCGAGAACTCGGGAAGGCGGCGGGTCCCGTGTGGCCAGGGTGAGGAGGAGGAGGGCCCAGGGGATGGCATGCTTGCGTGTGGTGGGGTTTGGGAGTGCTAAGGGTTTCACTGGGGTCACGTAGAAGTGGAGATGGAGCTTGCCTAGAGAGGCGCGTTTGACTCTTAAAGGGGGAACGGTTAGGCAGGAGCCCTTCAGGACGTTGGAGCCCAAGAAGGGAAATATTTCGGTTCTTTTCCAAGCGGCTTTGTGTAACGCTTGAAGGACTCGTGCTAATTTCAGGCTAGCCATTGCATGGCTTTGGGGGGGGGGGGGTGAATTACAGCTGCGTGGTTTAGCTCCCCTGTTCCCCGTCTCAATTATTACCTCCCCCCGGGCATGCCTGGGCTCTTCCCCATTCTCCACTTTACCCAGACTTCCACCCTCTCCAAGAAGAGTTGGAACTCTTCTTCTATCACTTCTAGAAACCCCCAGGTAATCTACGTCCAGTGCAGAAAAGGCTTCTGGAGGTTGAGATATTGGGCCCACCAGCTGGAAGGGACTAAGTAGAGTCAGGGAAGTGAATAATGTCCAGCTTAAGTGTGCCTAATGAAATGAGAAAAAATATCTTTGTACGGATACCATCCTTGGAACAATGAGATATAAACTAATGGAATACATATGCAAAAGAGCCAGAATGTATGGAAGCAAAATTGCTTCTTTACCTGTGTGCTCAGAAAAATTGCTCAGAAAAATAAAGGGAACACAAAAATAAGACATCCTAGGTCTGAATGAATGAGATATTCTTATTCAATACTTTGTTCATTACATAGTTGAATGTGCTGACAACAAAATCACACAAAAATTATCAATGGAAATCAAATTTGGCAACCCGTGGAGGTCTGGATTTGGAGTTACACTCAAAATTAAAGTGGAAAAAAACACTACAGGCTGATCCAACTTTGATGTAATGCCCTTAAAACAAGTCAAAATGAGGCTCAGTAGTGTGTGTGGCCTCCACATGCCTGTACAACCTCCCTACAATGCCTGGGCATGCTCCTGATGAGGTGGCGGATAGTCTCCTGAGGGATCTTCTCCCACACCTGGACTAAAGCATCCCCCAACTCCTGGACAGTCTGTGGTGCAACATGGCTTTGGTGGATGGAGCGAGACTTGTGTCCCAGATGTGATCATTTGGATTCAGGTGTGGGGAATGGGCAGACCAGTCCATAGCATCAATGCCTTCGTCTTTGCAGGAACTGCTGACACACCCCAGACACATGAGGTCTAGCATTGTCTTGCATTAGGAGGAACTCAGGGCCAACCGCACCAGCATATGGTCTCACAACGGGTCTGAGGATCTCAGCTCGGTACCTAATGGCAGTTAAGCTACTTCTGGTGAGCACATGGAGGGCTGTGCGGCCCCCTAAAGAAATGCCACCCCACACCATTACTGACCCACTGCCAAACTGGTCATGCTGGAGGATGTGGCAGGCAGCAGAATGTTCTCCACGGCATCTCTAGACCCTGTAATGTCTGTCACATGTGCTCAGTGTGAACCTGCTTTCATCTGTGAACAGCACAGGGCGCCAGTGGCGAATTTGCCAATTTTGGTGTTCTCTGGCAAATGCCAAATGTGCTGCACAGTGTTGGGCTGTAAGCATAACCCCCACCTGTGGACCTCAGAGTCTGTTTCTGACCGTTTGAGCAGCCACATACACATTTGTGGCCCACTGGAGGTCATTTTGCAGGGCTCTGGCAGTGCTCCTCCTGTCCCTCCTTGCACAAAGGCAGAAGGTAGTGGTCCTGATGCTGGGTTGTTGTCCTCCTACGGCCTCCTCCACGTCTCCTGATGTACTGGCCTGTATCCTGGTAGTGCCTTCATGCTCTGGACACTACGCTGACAGACATAGCAAACCTTCTTGGCACAGCTCGCATTGATGTGCCATCCTGGACAAGCTACACTACCTGAGCCACTTGTGTGGGTTGCAGACTCTGTCTCATGATACCGCTAGAGTGAAAGCACTGCCAGCATTCAAAAGTGACCAAACCATCAGCCAGAAAGCATAGGAACTGAGAAGTGGTCTGTGGTCACCACCTGCAGAACCACTCCTTTATTGGGGATGTCTTGCTAACTGCCTATGCTTTTCGCCTGTTGTCTATTCCATTTGCACAACAACACGTGAAATTGATTGTCAATCAGTGTTGCTACCTAAGTGGGCAGTTTGATTTCACAGAAGTGTGATTGACTTGGAATTACATTGTGTTGTTTAAGTGTTCCCTTTATTTTTTTTGAGCAGTGTACATTTCCCTAGACCCAAATTAGTCCTCAGTTTTCCAAGATGGAAGAAAGTGTTCTTGCTTTCTAGCTGTATAGTTTTTATTGTAAAAAGGACTCCATACACAGTGACACTCCTTGGTATAGCTCTTGTTCTCATTTTTAAGGTGAATGAAAATGTTTAGATGTAGATTTTCCCTAGCAGTAGAGAAATACACTTGAGATGTAGAATGTATACATGTCTGCTGTCCTCTTCACTGAAGCTTTGGCCAAGCCTTTATTTTATCTCTTGGTTCCCTTTCAGCAAAAAGAAAATTCCCACATGTCCCAATGAGAAATGCTGTTTAAAAACAGTGCTGAAATTAACTTTTTGTGAGTTTCTAAGCCCAGTTGATGAAATGAAAGGCAATTTATTTGATATATTAACTATTGTTATTATTCTGTGAATAAAATATATAAACAAAGTTGAAGATATTTTTTTTTCCTGCTTATTTAGCAGATATAATGTGATGATTTGTGTTCACAGCACATAGACTAATTGTACATTTTGTTGTGGCAAAATGTACAAACTCAAAATGATTCTCTAAAAAAGATACCTTAGAGCTGCCAAAATTAGTCCCCACATTTATTTATGTGATAAATTGTGCAAAATTGGCTGCCACAGGCTACTCTTGAGATAGTAAAGTCATTACTGAACTAGTACAAAGATTTAAACGCATTAAAATGAGAAATTGTTGAAGGGACACTGGGTTTTTTTCTGTGTGTTACACTAATGATTTACATATTTAAGATGCTCTATAGCAGTGGTGGCTAATCTTTTGGGGCTCCTGTGCCAAAAATTGTGCGCACGCTCACGTGCCAGCACCCAGAAGGCAATGCACGCCCCCCCCCATGTCCCCTACGCATGTGTGTGCAATCCCCCACCTACCTATCCCTGCCACCTGGGGATGTGCTTCACAGCTGATTTTCCGCTGGCTTGAGGCCTTTTTTGGCCTCCCAGAGGCTTGAAAAAAGCCTCTGTAGGCTTTTCAGGACAAATAATAGGCCTGTTTTGTCAACGGGCCTATTCATCCTGCAGAGGGTTTTTTCAAACCTCTAGGAGGCCGAAAAAGGCCTCAAACTGGCTGAAAATCAGCTGTGGGGGCACACATGTGCAGTGAGGTAAGTTTGCCTGCGGCTCGTGTGTTGGCACAAATGGCTCTGTGTGCCACCTCTGGCACATGTGCCATAGGTTTGCCATCATGGCTCTATAGGCTGATCATCTTATATACCATAAATCTGTGTGACCCACAGTAAAGATAATGTGTTTGTATATGAAACAATTTTTAAAAATCCAGAAACCTGTTCCTTGTAGCCTACAACAATAAACAACAATCACTAGGTTTCAGCCATACCTATCTCACTGTAGAAAGTATTTTCAATTTTGAATCAATTGGGAAATAAAAATAACAGTCCAAGGTTACTACACTAGTCAAATTAAAACCGAGTTTTTTCTGGTTTTTCTGTCTGACTTGTCAAACCTTGTGTGGGATGCTAAATATTTGATTCTTTGATATTGTGAGTAACAGTAACAATATATTGTTAAACTTCTCTCTTTTAGGAGCATTATGACTGAAGAGCAATTTGTTAACATTGATTTAAATGATGATAATGTTTGTAGTGTATGCAAATTAGGAACAGAAAGAGAAACACTTTCCTTCTGCCACATTTGTTTTGAACTAAGCATTGAAGGTAAGTGTAATAAAATTTCAGACAGCTGGAAAAAATATCTAACTTTAATAAACAAAACCTTTCAATTTCCATATTAGTGATGATAGTAGCTTATAAATGTATTCATGTTTTGCTAACATCGCTCTTTTCTTTGGAGGGATCCTTGAGTGGGAAGATGAGTTTGTTTGTTTTGTAGAGTTTGTTTCTAGTTTAGAACTTTGATTTTTTTTCAGAGTTATAAATCACATAGTAATCCTGTGTAAAAAGGCTCCCAATTCATCTATTTCTCAGAATGGTTCTACAAATAAAAGAAAAAAAATCACTAAAATGTAACTCATATTTATAATAGATTTGTATTAGGATTTTGTGAATTTATAAACGTAAACTAATCTTTGAAGCCAGTTTGGTTTAATAGTTAAGACACTGGACTATAGGTGAGAAATTTGAGTTCTGATCCTGCATTATGCATGGACCTAGTTGGGTAACTTTGGACCACTCACTCATTCACTCTTAGTTGTAGGAGGAAAGGAATGGTAAACCAAGTTGTAAACTTTTGCCTATAGTTACCATGAACAGGGATGGACTCAAGGACAAAGTGGGAGGGCGGGAGGAAGGAACCTAATATTTCCTCATATATAGTCACTTCTGTCATTTTCTAATTTGATAACATTGCTTTATCAGTTAACAATTTCCCCTTAGATTTTAAATTTTGTCAAGAATTTGCAGATTTGGACAAAGCAATTGTCTTGCAGTACTGAGTAAAATAGACACATTTTTATTAAATTTCTGGGAGATGCAAATAATGAGACTTTATTCAGAAAACCAGTGACAGTTTTAAGCTTTGTAAGAATTTTGTGACAAATTGTGCTATGAAAAGTAATAAGTTCACTAGAAAAATCCCATATCTTTGTTTTACTAAACAGATTGCATGACACTCCCATTTGTTATTTATGAACAAAGATAATTTAATTTTCTGCTTTTTCAAGATTCGTAAATTAAAGGATCCAAGTTTACTAGATCACTCACATGAAATAACGATAAGTAGCCATGCAGATACTCTGATATGCAGACACTAATATCAGTGCTCAGAAGGTGCTCAAAATCCTTAAAAGTGAATACTGTGTTCTCTTTCTCGCCTCCCACCCCACCCCCGGTCTCCCTCCCTCCCTCTCGCTCTCAGTGAGTAGACAGTATTAGATGCTCCTGATAATATATATAATTATTACTTTATATTCAAATGTACATAGAATGGTGTTAGTGAATAATTAAGTTAATACTTTGGACTATTGCACTCCCTTACACGCTTATTTAAACATTTGCACAAAATTATTATTGGACATTGGTGTTACCAAAATATAACTTTATCCAGTTTCCTGAGCTAATGTTTTGATTATATTCACATTCAAACTTAGCCATGATAACTCATTTGGTAACTCTTGGTCAAACACCCACTTTGTGGGTTCCAATTCCGCCTACCTCTCTGAGTTGCTATAATACTTGTGGGGGGTTTACATTAAGGGAATCCCCATTTAGGTCACTTTTAGCTCTCAAGGAGGTATGCTATAAAACAACCATGAAATTGAAAAAGTATATTTCTATTATTCACAAAGCATCCTGGCAAAACTAGATAAAAGATGTAACTCCAATATCCATTGAAAAAGATCTGCATATTATTTCAAATGAAAAGAGTTCAGATTCATTTTCAGTTGTGTAAACATTGTTTAAGAGGGAAATTGGAGCTATATACTGAAATTTTTTGGGGTTTTTTTTTTGGAAAAAAATTATATTACAGAGAAAGTTGCTCCAAATTTCATGATGTTGAAATCTAGTTCTAGTACAGGTAGTCCTCAGCTTATCACAGTTCATTTAGTGACCATTCAAAGGCCCTGAAAAAAAGTGATCATGGACCATTTTTCACACTTCCAACTTCCACGCATCCCCATGATCATGTTATCAAAATTCAGATATTTGGCAACTGACTCATTCATGACGGTTGCAGTGTCTTGGAGTTATGTGATTACCTTTTGTGACCTTTGACAAGCACACTTAATGGGTAAGCCAGTTTCAGTTAACAACTGTGTTACTAACAACTGCCGTGATTCACTTAACAATTATAGCAAGAAACTAGTGAATTGTAGTTAATTGGGCAAAATTCACTCAACTGTCTCGCTTAGCAACATAAATTCTGGGCTGAATTGTGGCCGTAAGTTGATAACTACCTATAGCTAACCATATTTGCAGCCTATTTCCAAATTTCCAAGAGACACAAAGAAATAATTAACACTGCTATGAGATATTGGAATAAATTTATTATCAAAGTAATTAAAGAAGTAATTAAGTAATTAATGAATTAATGAAATTTTATATATGAAGTTATATATAAAGTATTTTCAGTCTATAATTTAATATTATTCATGGAATCATACTACTTATTTCTTTTCCCCCCCTTTTTTAGGAATACCGAAGTCTGATCTTCTGCATACAAGATCATTAAGGGGACATAGAGACTGCTTTCAGAAATTCCACTTAATAGCAAACCAGAGTTGCCCACAATCGAAATTGTCTAAAAGTACATATGCAGAAGTGAAAAACATTTTGAGCAAAAAAATTAACTGGATTATACAGTACGCACAAAACAAAGATAGAGATTTGGATTCAGATGGTTCGAAACCAACACAGCATCGGATTTTTAGTTTTAGACATCAGAGAGAGAGAAAGTTACTTCCACAGTTTGATTCCCAAGTCCCTAAATATTCTGCAAAATGGGTCAATGAAAGCTCTGGGAGTATTACAAACTGTTCACAGAATATTTTAGAATCAACAGAATCCAGTGATTTTAGATTTCACATGTTGCAACAAAGAAGTGCACCATTTTGTTGTAATAATTCATTATGGTCTAGTCATAATCAGTCATCAGAATTGGGAAAAACCAAAAAAGAACCAGATACTTGTGTACGAAGATTTCCCCAATACAGCAGAGAGCAGTGTAAGTGTGAGAAGTAATTTATAAACTCATTTGTATATATAAACTCTGTGTAGCACTTAGAAAATAAAAATATTAACTTGTAAGTATTGAAAGAAATAAATGCTCAGTTGGTGCGTAACTTTATTACAATTTGAATCTAGCAAAGTTTGTCAACTAGTCCTAGGCTAAAGAAACATGATTTTTAAACTGAACACATACTAAATAATATGTTCTCTCTTAATTCAAAAACAATAAACCTATTACATTTATGGAACAACTGTTTTATTTTATGCTTTCTTAATGTGATCTAAACTTACCTTCAACAACATAAGCTCCATTAAAGGAGCTCTATTTTGTTTTGATTAAGCATGTATATTTGCATTGTTGACTAAATACAGTTCATCTACCTACTTAGAGAATATAATGTAAAGCTACTTATAGCAATCCTGGATCAGCTAGGAAGACTTTAAATTGATGGATTCTTCTGGAAGCTTCATAAGCAGCTTTAAATTTTGTTAATCAGTCTGTATTTATTTTCTGGGTAAATCTACAACATAATAGTTATTTCAAAGTATAAAAAGTATAAAAGTATTTCAGAGCATAAAAATTATTTGGATAAAAGTTGGATTGGATGCATCATGTTAAAGAGAATGGTTCAAAAATTGCAAAAGCAGCTATTCTCCACTTATATATTGCATTGTACTTTAAAAGGG